CTGCCGCGCCTGTGGAGGCCGGTGACCCAGTGGCCGGAGCCCACTCTGGACGCTTGTGGCCCACCTTCCCATGGCTGACTCCGGAGCTGTATCATAGCATGGAGTGGGCTTTCTCAATCCTGGCTGCACAACAGAACCACCTGGGGAGCTTTTAAAGCCCACTGATGCCTGAGCCCCATTCCAAGCCAAAGAATCAGCATTTCTAAGGCTGAGGCTGAGACGTGGTGGTTTTTAAAAAATATATTTTTATTGATTTCAGAGAGAAAGGGAGAGAGAGGGATCGAAACATATTTGAGGAGGGAGGATCATTGATCGGCTGCCTCCTGCACGACCCCTGCAGGAGGAGCCCTGGCTGGTTTGGCTCAGTGGATAGAACATTGGCCTGAGGACTAAAGGGTCCCATGTTCAATTCTGGTCAAGGGCACATACCTGGGTTGCAGGCTCTATCCCCAGCCCTGGTCCAGGCACGTGCAGGAGGCAACCAATGTGTCTCTCTCACATTGATGTTTCTCTCTATCTCTCCCCCTCCCTTCCATTCTCTCAAATAAATAAGTAAGTAAAAGAAAGAAAGAAAAGAAAATCAATGGAAAAATATCCTTGGGTGAGGATTAACAAGAACACACAAGAAAATACAAGATAAGCCTGGACATCTGGTAGTGACGGAAAGTAAGGGAGGGCTCCAAAAAACTAATGAGCAAACAAACAAAACCCACACACAAGGGGGCAAGTCCAAGGGACACAGGAGCCAACGGAGAGACTCCCAGTGGCCAACGCTGGAGTAATTTGAGCAACAAAATAAAGTAGTATTGGATTGTAACCCCCAGCATAAAATAAATATCCACAGTCCATATTTGTATAAGTCAATGACTAAATAAATAAGTAAACGGGGAAGAAGATTCACATGTCTTATGCAGAAGAATTGCAAATAATTTATGTGGCTAATCGAAGAGGTGGAGTGTGACTTTTTCCTGTGTGTGGGCTGTGCACAGTGACTTCCTTCTGAAGAGGACAGTATGGAAGGGGGAGAGGAGCAACCTTACAGTGGAGGAAGTGACAAATAATGGTCTTAGCCGGGTGACCAAGGCCAACATCAACAGTGACGAATCATGTTGCTACTATGTGCCCTTGAGATGATGTGATGAGAATAACCCCAGTCTAACCACCGGACGACTCGCAGCTGAGGGGCATTCTACAAAATGTCCGACCAGTGCTCCTCAAAACCGTCAAGGTCGTCAAAAACAAAGTCTGAGAAGCTGTCACAGCCATGCGACATGATGACAAGGAGACACGGCGAGCACATGGTGCCCTGGAAGGGATCGTGGCGCAGAACAAGGACATTAGGCAAAAGCTAAGGGGATCTGAATAAACTGTGGGCTTTCATTGACACGGGTGTGTCAGTCTTGGTTCATTCATTGTGACCAATGTGCCCTAATAATGTTAGACGTCAACAAGAGAAACCGGGTGAGGGATCTATAAGAGAACCCTCTGTACTCTCTTTGCAACTTTTCTATAAATCTAACACTCCTAAAAATAAAACAAACACACAAAAATACCATTTGGGTGTAGGATGAATAAAGGTGGCTTTCTGATTGCCTTGTTTCTCCATAGACACACACACAAAAATAAAAATTGGGCCAATATGTTCCCACCTTATCAGAGAGAAGCAGGCTGCAGGGAAGGGAGAAGGGGAGTGGTGAAAGAGGTGGACATGGTCAAGGTCACATAGATATTTGGGCAAAAAGGGCCTGGATCTCCACTCTCCTGACCACTGGCTCCAGGCTGGATGAAGCACTGTCTCTCACTGGTGCCAGGAGGAGTGGGTCCAGGTGGTCTTGGAAGACCCTATGAGCGCTCACAGCCTGAGGACCACCCACACAGTATCTGCATCTTTAAAAACACTGAAGGCATTGCACTGGGGGAGGGGGGGTGGGTTGGACAGTTCGGTGGGGGTGACATTATGCAGCAAAGGGTCTTCCCAGCATCCCTGAAGGCCATGCCCTGCAGGCTCTGCTCTTCTAGCTGTGTGAGCTCAGGCCAGTGAGCCCAAGTCTCTGTGCCTTCATTTCCCTCCCTGGGGATGGGGGACACTGATACCAGAGACAACTCTGTGAGGATGAATAAGATCAGGCAAAGAGCAACGTTGGGTAAAGTTGGCCAGTCTTTTATGCAGAACATGAGCTTAGGGCTTTGCTTCTGCTGGAAAATACAGCAGCTCCTGGGCAGAGTGGGTGGAAGGGCAGAGCAGGGAACAGAAGGCGCATCTGCTCCAACTCGGGGACTTTGCTGGAGGCCCCATACGTGGCAGTCATTCCTATTTCCAGGTACCGTTGCCAACCCGATGGATTTTATCTCGTCCAAAGTGAGAAGGAGTCCACTGACCAACGAAGCCCATGAACTAATGAGCGTGGTCTAGCCCCTGGACACAGTGCAGCATCATAGACGACACGGAAGGTGAGGACAGCAAAAGTGCCCAATGGCTGAAAGATACGATTCCGTCTGCGTCACATAAAACGTGTGTGTACTATACAGCACAGGAGCACCCAGATTGCCGGGGTTCAAGTTCCAGCGTGGGCCTCACGCCCTGTGTCACCTGGGGGAAGTCACTCAACTTTGTATCTCAGTTACCTCATCTGTAAAATGGGCAGAATAGTTTTTCCTGCCCCAGAGGGCCGCTGCGAGGATAAACTGTGCTGATTCACGGGAAGAACTTAGACGACTGCCTGGAACAGGAAGTACTTAGTGAACATGAGCTGTCATAGAAGTGGGACTCTCCATAGAAAAGGGCTGGAGAGCAACACATGCACTTCTAGCAAAAGTGACTTCTGGGAGCAGACTGGGGGTTGCCGGGGCCTGGGCAGGGAGGACTGGGGGGTGACTGGCTGCTTAAGGGCTAAGGGGTTCATCTTGGGGTGATGCAATGTTTTGGAACTAGACAGAGGTAGTGGCTACACAACATTGTGAATGTGTTAAATTGTGCATTTGGAAATGGCTACTTTTATGTTAACTGAATTTCACGTCGTTAAAAAAAATACAAGCAAAAAGACTTGTAGGAACTGGGTTAGTTGGAAAAAAAAACTGGTGGCAAAGAACTTTATAAGATACTTCTTATTTTATCACTTTTGTCCAGTTTTATTTTTTTTTTGCAATGAACACGCATATTTGAACAAGTTAACTGTACCTTCTTTTTTTAGAAGGGAAGGGGCACGTAAGAGAAACTGCGTGGGGTGGGTGGGGGTGGCATTGGGCGAGCGCTGACTCACCCTTCCTGCCCACCGGTCCCTCTCCCCGTGTGGGGCTTACCCTACTGGGAGGAAAGTGCTATTCACGGCTCCGTTTCAAAGGGGGAAAGTGAGACTCAGCGAATGTGAGCATTTGCTCAACTCACAGAGCCTGATTCCAAAGAAATCTTGTGGCCCCATCACACAGCCCCTATTTCCATGTGTAAATACGGGTGTAAATTGATTTCTCAGGTCTGTCCGCTTCTGGTTCTCTCTAGTCCCCAGACACCTGGCTCAGTTCTCGAAGTGTCAGTCCTGCCTCCGGTGCCCAAATCAGAGGGCCCACCCAGCCACACCTGCCTTGCGCTCCAGCGGGGACACCTGCTCTCCAAACAGAAACCAGCCCTCCCACCAGGCCCCACTCACTCCTGAGCTCTGGAAAAATCGCCCTGGTTGGGAAGCTAATAAACATAAGCAAGGAAAGCTAATGCACAGCTCCCTGTAGCTGTACCTGCCCCACTGACCACGAGACGAAGAGACCCCCGACTCACCCCGGCTGCCTCCCGGTGCAGGATCCTGGCCGCCTCGGCCCGGCCCAGGCCCAGCTGCAGCCACACCGGGCACGTTTTGACGAGTTTCTCCAGGACGCTGATGCCCCGGGGAGCAAGGCAGTTCTTCGGGGTGACTGGCGGACAAGGCCCCATGCCATCTTCCTCCTCCTCTTCCTCTCTTTTATCAACCTCTGGACTAGGACTGAAAACAGAATCAAATGGTCAGCCGATTCTGCAGCCCCACGGAGAGGGGTTTAGAACCAGTGGGGGCTCAATGCAACCTGCTGACTTATTTAGCACCTAGGAAGCCAGTGGCCCCCGAGGGTGTTAAAAAGAATGAACTCTTCACCTTTCGGTGCTTATAACAAAACTAGAGGCCCGATGCACGAAATTCGTGCAAGGGTAGGCCTTCGCAGCCCTGGCTGCCTCGCGGCCCCAAGGCCCCGCCCCCGCCCACTGGTCGTTCAGGAAGATTATTCCGCCGGTCAGTTGATTTGCATATTAGGCTTTTATTATATCGGATGGGTTAAACATAGATAGAAACAACCAGCTGTACAACATTGGACATAGATAGAAACAACCAGCTGTAGGACAACATTGGAGTGAACCTCACAGAAACACAATGTGAGGGAAGTAGCTAATCCCAGCCCAGGGTGGGTTCAGAGGCCTGGGGGAGGGATGAGCCAGAGGGTGCATTCGAGCAGAACTCTGAACAGGATTTTAAGAACCTTTTTAGTGAACATGTAGCTTACACACAGTGAAATGCACCAGTCTCTAGCATACAGTTAGACAAATTCTTACAGTGTCTATGCCTGTCGACTACAACCTAGATCAAGGCAGAAAACTGTGCTGTCTGATACCGTAGCTACATGTGGGAACTGAGCTCTGAAAAGTGGGTGGTCAAGCTCGGCCCGCGTGGCTCAGTGGTTGCGCGTCAACCTATGAACCAGGAGGTTGTGGTTAGATTCCCGGCCAGGGGACATGCCTGGGCTGCAAGCTTAATCCCCAGTGTGGGGCGTGCTGGAGGCAGCCAATCAACGATTCTTTCTCATCATTGATGTTTCTATCTCTCTCTCCCTCTCCCTTCCTCTTTGAAATCAATACAAAAATATATTTTTAAAAAAGGGTGGTTTGGGGCCCGGGAATTTAGGGCACTGGGTGAAAAGGTGAAGGGATTGAGGAGTATAGATTGGTAGTTTCAAAATAGTCACAGGGACATGAAGTACAGCATAGGGAACATAGTCAATGATACTGTAATAACTATGTATGGTGCCAGGTGGGTGCTGGAAATACTGGGGGGAACACTTTGTAAAGTACATGATTGTCTAACCACGATGCTGTACACCTGAAACTCATACAAACTAATATTGAGTGTACACAGTTATTAAAAAAAGAAAAGTGGGTGGTCTGAGCTGAGACCTGCACACAGGGTTTTGAACACTATTGATATGAAAAAAAGATTGTAAATAGCTCATTAATAATAACTTACATTGATTACACTCTGAAATGATAATCGTTTAGATATACTGGCTTAAATAAAACATTAGTAAAATTAATTCCACTGATTTCTTTTTACATGTGGCTACTAGAAGATCTAAGACTACCTACGAGGCTTGTGCTCTACCTGTTGGATGCGCTGATACAGACATTTCCAGAAGTGTCTCCTGTGGCCCCTCCCAGTCAGCATCCCTGCCCCCACCAGGAGGACGGGACAGGCCAGGGCGGGGGGCGGAGGAGCGTCTCGGGCTTAAGAAACAGCAAAACCAAAGCAGAGGTCCAGTTTACGAGATCTCGGACCGAGCCCCCCCCCCCCCCCCACACACACACACTGTGATTCTAGAAAAGGAGGGATGGCATCTGAGTGCCTCCAACCCGGAGTCAGGTGGGCTGCGTGGGCTGTTTGCATCCCACCCGAGGGAGGAACTAAGTCTGCAGGGGTGAGGCCTGAATCAGGCCGAAGGGGGTAGTTAGTTATGAAGCCAGGAGGCTGTGGCTCTTTGCCCTGTGTGTCCCTGTGACGCTGCCCAGGGTCACCCCTGATCAGGGTTGGCATTTGCTGTCAGGAGAGGCCCCGGGGGAGGGATGAGCCAGGATGGAGCCACTTCCTGGGGCGTGGGGAGGGGCCAGAGGGCAGCAGGACCCAGAACTCCTGATGAGGGAACAGCATTTCCTAAAGAGGAGGGTGGGGTCCTGGTGGTGGTTGGGGCCGGGGGGTGAGGGACCCTGGGAAGTGGATTAAACCGTCCAGCAGGGCTGTGCTGTGTTAAGCAGGTGGGTTTTGCAGAGACCTGAGCAGGGAGATGTGAGGTGATGCGGGACATGTCAACGTCACTGTGCTACAATTCCTCCCCTGACGCCCCACCCCCAAAGCCTCCGAGAGGCCCTCCCTCTCCTGGATCTGTGTGTGTGTGCGTGTGGCTATTTATGGATTTCCCTCTGGGTCCACACAGAAGACGGTGCCAGGTTACCAGGACAGCAGGAGTGTCCCAGGCAGTAGCGGGCACCATGCGGCTGGGGGCGTGGGGGCAGCAGGGCAGCCCCACGGTGTCCACAGGCTGTGACATTGGGGCCTGGTGGGTCTCATTCGGCGTGGCCCAGCTGCTGTTGATGTAACCTCTTCCCAAGCCCTAAAGTGTGGTTGCAGCATCTCTGGGAGAGAAGTTGAAACAGAGGAGCCAGAATTACCCAGAAAACAAGCACTTCGGGCCCATTAGTTTCCTCTAACCCTCCCTCCCTCGCCCCCTTGAAAACCAAAAATATCTTCTGGCACCAAAAGGCTTGATGATCATCCTCAAATCTCCTCCCTTGGCCCAGGGCCTCCCTGGGGAGCAATGAGGACTCTAATGGCAGCTGGGCGAGAGCTATAGGCTCCTTTCTGCTCTGCCACAAACTGGGCAAGTCCGGTTCCTCTCAGGGTCTCAATCTCCTCATCTGTGCAATGGGCAGGGTGGCCTGGAAGATTCCTCCACTGGCTGAGTGGCCCTGGGTGACCCCTGGGAGAAATGAGGGGTTTGCCTTGCATTCATTCATACTATGAATATTTTCTGAGGGCCTGCTAGTGCCAGATGTTGGTCTAGGCTCTGGGTTAGATCAGAGAACAAAATGATTAAAAAAACACATACATACCAAAACCTAGTTATAGAGCCAGGAAGATGTGGCTCTTTGCCCTGTGAGTTCCCGTGCTGTTGCCCAGGGGCACCAGTGATCAGGGTTGGCATTTGCTGTGGGGAGAGGCCCGGGGGAGGGATGAGCCAGGATAGAGCCACTTCCTGGGGGGGAGGGCTGGCGATAGACAAGGACAATGAGGGACCTAGCCTATGTCAGATGATGACCAGAGCTAGCGAGGGGAAGAGATTCCAGACACAGGGCTTATGTTATCTGGTCTAGAAAAAACTGCAAGGAAGCCAGGGAGGTAGCAGGAGCTAGGGAGGGGTCGAGGTCAGCGTGGGGAAGGGCAGGGGTCCTTGTAAGGATTCTGGGAGAGTTAGCTCTAAACCCATGGACATGGAGCCCTAACTGGGTTGGCTCAGTGGATAGAGCGTTGGCCCTCAGACTGAAGGATCCCGGGTTTGATTCCAGCCAAGGGCAGGCTTGAACCCCGGCCCTGGTCAGGGTGTGTGCAGGAGGCAACCAATTGATGTGTCTCTCTCACATTGATGTTTCTCTCTCTCTGTCTCTCCTCCTCCCTTCCACTCTCTCTAAAAAACAATGGAAAAATATCCTCAGGTGAGGATTAACCAAATAAATAAATAAATAAACCCATGTATGTGGACACCTTCCCTGGGCTGCCTTCTAGCAACTGGCCCACACCAACCCCCAGGCTTCTTTGGCAAGAAATGGGCCCATTAAGTCCTAGTGGGGACTGGGTGACTTCTGGGCCCCTGGAGAGTCTTCAGGGAGCCACAGAGATGAACCTGCACCCCTGCCTCCAGCTCCCTGGCAGGGGGACACGCCCTGCTTTCAAGGTGACCAAGAAGAAACTCTGCCCCAGGCTCTAGCATCCCGGGACTGTGCCATCCCTCTCTTGCGATCACGTCCTCCCCTGCTCTGAAGCCGTCATGGTGCCCACTGCCTAAGGAATCAGTCTCCTAATACTGCAGGTATTCCTTTCTGAACAGCACCTCCCTGTAGACTCCCCTACAAAGGCTGTTCTTCATCACCCAGCAAAAGTGGCACTTCCCCACCTGGGGCTACCACAGGTTCTCTATTACCCCCTCCAACATTCTCTCCAATGGGCAGGCAAAGGTTTATTGCATTGGACCCAGAAAGCAAGAACCATACAAGAAAAGACGGATAAATCAGACGCATCACAATTTAAACTTGTGCCCATCAAAACACCTCATTCAGAAAATGAATACTCAAACAACAGGCGGGGAGAAAATATTTGCAAAGCATGCATGCAACAGAGAACAAGCAAATCTTATATAATAAAAGGTCAATATGCAAATTGTCCCCTCGACTGGGAGTTCGACCAGGAGTTTGACCAGGGGGGGCCGGCCGGCCAACCTCCCACATCCCCTCCCCCCAGACGGCCCAGCCCGATTGGCCAAATTGGGGCGGGCAGGCCAGACCCCACCCGTGCACAAATTCGTGCACCGGGCCTCTAGTTAATTGATAAAATGAGCAAAAGATTGGAAGAGCCCTCAAAGAAGAAGACATACAAATGGCCAAAAAGCAGGTGAAAGAGCGCTCACCTCATTAGTCATAAGGGAAATGCAAATTGAAACCACAATGAGATACCACGTCCCAACCACCAGCATGGCTAACATTACAAAGCCTGCCACCATCACTTGGTGGAGGGTGGATGTAATGAGGACTCTCGTACATTGCTGGGCAGAATGCACACTGGCACAACCACTTTGGGAAAAGGCAGGTTTTTATAAACCTTAACATACGCTTGCCCTCTGGCCCAGCCATTCCATGCCTGTGTGTATACCCAAGAAAAAAGGAAAGCGGATGTCCACTAAAAGACCCAAAGACGCCCTAGCTGGTTTGGCTCAGTGGATAGAGCATTGGCCTGCAGACCAAAGGGTCCTGGTTCAATTCTGGTCAAGGGCACGCACCTTGGTTGCAGGCTCCTCCCCGGCCCGGGCCTTGCTCATGCAGGAGGCAACCAATCGATGTATTTCTCTCACATCGATGTTTCTTACTGTCTTTCCCTCTCTCGTCCACTCTCTCTAAAAATCAATGGGAAAATATCCT